TGAAAGACAAATCAACATTGTCAAATTTTGTAAAAATAACTTCATTTTTCCACAACTGTCAATAATATGTAGACATCATCCATTACTAAACTGCTAAAGCACCTTTATCAGCTTACTATATTCTGGTCTGCTTGCAACATGTAGTGCGAGAAGCCCAATGACCCATATATATGTACATTATGTATAGGAAAACTGCACCAAACTTGGGTTCAACTCAATTTGAAGGAACATAACCACATCTCTGATTTCATGAAATATGAGAATGTTGATCTGAAAGTCAAGTCTAAAATTGACTTTTTTTGTTCAAATTCTAAAGCACTTAATTTCACGGCTTAAATGATACATTCAAAATCAATCAATTTTTTCTAAAAATAAGAACATATTACGAAAGCGGACTAGAATATATCCCCATTCCTGCCATGAGCTCATAGAATATATGCAATTGGTTTAAATTACCATTCTGAAGGAATTCATTGGATATTACTTATCATAATTGGACTTGTATATGATGCAGTAATAAGTGTCAGATTTCGACAAAGAACAGCGGGTTTGGGGGAGGTCGAAAAATTATGTGCTGTAATTTCAACGTAATTTTAACACTTTTTTAAATCTGGGTTAACCAACCAAACAAATTTTTAATTCGGGTTAACCTAAATGGTATGGATTTAATTGGAACACTACCTCCAAAACTTTAAAACCATACATCATTCTATCTCAATATAGCAGATCAGCAATCAGAAATATGAGCTTTGAATTGGTTGCTCGAGACAGAAAAAAGTCAAATAGAGTTTTCGGGAGCCTTGAAATAAAATTCATGAGATGTTCTAATTAAACCTTGCAATTTGCACATGTATCACAAATACATGACTAAGGGGGAGGGGGGTTCATTTATCAGGAATGCAAATGATATTATACTTAAAAGTAAATATCTAAATATATATGCTGCTAGAAAACATGCCTCAAAGATGTAGAAATGCCAAAATATTACAATTTTAGTACAAATGTACCACAAATGTAGTACAAAATAGTAAAAGTGATGATGTAAGGAAAACAAAACCTTCGCTAACAACCTACTTCAAACTACAGAATGTTTCAAACTGCAACATCTTGGACTACCTAGTTTCAACATCCACTTTGCAGCTAAGAGAGCTCAAAGCACTTGTATTAATAGAAAACTGCTATTGGTAAGATTTTAAGTAAAAATTTACAAATCCGCAAATCCCGATCAAGTCTTTCCGATCATGAACTCTTTTCACCAAAGTCCTTTGTTGATAGTTGCACAATTGCTGTGATTAGCTTAGACTTTGACAGAACCTAAAACTGGATTAGAATTCAGACTTAGACGGCTGCATTGCCGTACAATAATACTTCCCAGCACTGTGAAAGGCTTGTCTTAAATCATTATGATAATACTGCCTAATGCAGTGAACAAGTTTTCCTATTTAATATTGATCATTTCAAAGCTTTGCTAATAATTCAATTGCACTATGTACTAGATTTAACCTCAATCATTGACCATTCTTATTCCTCTCTGAACTTTTAGAACTGTTCATCAGAAAATCTGTATCAAACTTCAAAATTAGATACATAAAAGAAATCTAATCCACAGCTAGTTAAGAAAGAAATAAAAGTTGGCTTTTTGATTATATTTTGAAGTTTTAATTAAACTATTTGGATAAAAAATTTTGAACAATTCCAAAACCTTTTTTGGACACAAATGTTTTATACGAAAACAGAGACAAAAACTACAAGTGATATCAATGTTCACTTAATAGGTAACATGGTAAATGAAGGTGGAGAAACGGTTGGTAAATAAATCTATGTATAACAGAAGACATACAAAGTTTAACTATCAAAAATGACTCAGAGAGAATTGTTAACTTCTTATTGACAATCTTGGAAAATCTCCAGAGATTGGTCAATTTGAGCCCAAAATAACTGTGAAGCCCAAGGAGTAACTACCCAAATGTTTTATTAACAAATGTTAGTGATGAAAGTTGGGATATGTATTGAATATTTTCTAAAAGCATATGATGTGCCCATAAATTATAAATAATATATTAGTATGTGACATTTCCTCAGGCAAGTTTTGATAGAATCGTTTGAAAAAATACCTGTAATATTTCATGGTCTTTTATATGAATAGTATAATAATCGAAAGATTTCTGGGTACCTAAACATTAAGGATTTATAAAATTCCTGACATTTTTTATAATAAGCATATGTTTCAGAATTTGGTTGACAAAAACAGAAGACCAGCAGTAAAACTTGTATACAGGGTATCAATTTGTAGAGAGAGGGGGATCACCGTGCAAATTGACACCATGTACATGCACATGTAAAGTTCACATGCTACAAAGATATGAATGAGTTTCACCTTTCGTTATAGTGATTCTCAAATTATCAGATCATCTTGGTCTGAACAGTCTGTACTCTTTTAGTGAATATTTAAACCAATTCCAGCTGAACATTGACGTAAAAATCCAGATGTCAAACCCCAAAAATTTATCATCAGATCAACAGGCAAGGGCATGTGACAGTCCTATTTTATTACGACTCATTTTGTAAATTTGGTTAAAAATGAGAATGCCAATCCAGACCACTAGACATTTTGACAAAATTTCTCTTAAAGGATTGTTGCAAACATGTAAGGAATGCATGTATCCGATATAATACTTGCATTAAGATAACATTACACTTATCCAAGGCTATCTTGAGTCAAGCACATTTACCTTACACTACATGTTTTGCTATCTCCCGTCAATTACTGCATTAACATTGTTACATAAATTAGTTCGATTTATCTGACACTGGAGTCGACATTGTTTGATTTATTAATGGATGACCTTAATTTTTGATACATGCTTGTAAAACAATGTGTTATCTTCAGACAATTTGATGTATAATCATATTTGATGATTATATTCTATTTTTATAATGCAAGGGTTAAAGTGACATGTCAAAATTAGAAATATTCATTTTGTAAAAATTACACTATGTGGTAAAACAATGCAATGAAATTCAAACTGTTCTATAATCAGAAAAAATGATAACTCAAATAGAATAGCAAATCTTCATGAACAAACATGTAATCATTTTTAAGGCATTGTTAGTATAAGTCAGGCAATATATTCACTCCTCAAAGCTATCAAACTATAAATATCATGAAATTGATCCTTGCACAACTAGTGCTATTCCTAACTATGATTGACTTAAAGTATTGAACAAAACTTGAAACTGTAGCTTTTTACTACACAAACCAATTTCCAACATCAAGAGTTATATGTTCTTTAATACATCATTTTGATCAGTTGTATAACAATAATAATGATTGTCATCACTATTATCAATATGATTAGCATGCAATTTATAAAAACGAACGTCACTATTACATTTTTCGTCACTATCTTTAATAACCTGATAATTCTAAGATTACTCAGTATTCTTCAACCATATCGGCATTAGGATCCCCCTTTATGAGAAAATTACAATGACATAAGAGAAGCCTTTTCAAATATATTTATCTTAGAATATTTTTGGCCAGTGTCTTTTTTGCAATATTAAGGGATGGTGTCAAAATGCTCAAGAAGTTAATCTTTTTTATCATTTATGGGTTAACCCCTCACCTTTGATGAAAATAAGGGTTGATTTGCTGTTTATTAGTTATCATAAATATTAAATGTGTGGATAGGTTTATGAATATCGCTTCTAGAGACAAAATTACTGACAAATATTTTTTAGGGCAGCTACCATCTTGGATGTAACCTGGATGTAACCTTTGACCTCTAACCACTGAACAAAAAAGCGCAATGACTTACTCCAGGGGGCCAAAAATTAATATTTTACAAAATCATCATTTAACCCCCTCTCTCTTAAAAATTAACTTGACTCTTCCGTTGCTTTTAACTGTAAGGCACCTTCCCTCTAAATCATGAATACATTCAAAAGAAAACGTTCAAAAGAAAATATTCATAAGAAAGCCTTTTATTTCCAGGAAAATCTATTAAATACTGCGCTCTATTGTGATAAGAAATTTGATAGATATTGAAAAAACGAAACATGATTGATCAACGAGATACATGTAAGTTAGACATGTTATGACGTAAGCAGTTTTGATTTTGATGAATATTTAATATGCATATTTGTAAAAATTTTGTCGATTAACATGCATATATCAATTAATAGATCATGATTAGGAATTAATAATTAATATACATTATTCAATCACGGGTTAGTTCTCTCAACCAAAAAAGCTTGTTTAAACTGTTCATATAAGACAACAATAAACTTTTTTTGTAAATAGCTGCATTTTGAATCTGCGAAAGAATAGTATAAAGTTTCTCCCAGGTCAGGATGACTACAAGTCAACGATCTAAGCATTTCGTTTTTCAAGCTTTGTTAAGAGAGTAGGATAGTTGAATTTGCTAAACTGAATAAACATAATGATGAGTCCCATTCATTCATAATATCATTAATTCCCAAATTTGAATTCAACAATTAATAATCACTCCAAATTCTGTAAATGAAATAAACAAAAAATGGATGTTTCAACCAAATAAAGCAGATATGGTACCTTTAGCACATAACTGTATTTCTGGAGTTTTATGATTCATAATTTTTCTTGTTACCATCTTAAAGTGATGAACTTTGATATTTGCTAAGAATCGCAAGTAGTATCTCCAAAGCAAAGATGATGTAACTAACAAGTGAATCATATGTATAATGGTTATCTTTGCTAAATTGAACCAATTATACAAGAGTCTGGAATAATTCTATGAGATCAAACTTCTGTATTGGAGAATCTACGATTGGAATCCCCCACTGGACAGTTGGCATGCATGTCTGTTTCCTGGTATAATTAAATATGTTCAAAATTCCTTAAATAATTGACCTCCCCAGATTACCTGCCACAAATCCCTGTTTTGTAAATTCTTTTGCGGAAATGAATAATAAAGATGCGCATGTAAAAAGGTTTATTGAAAATTCATTGATAAACCTACCGTGCACTTGTTTGGCTTCTCCCCAGAATGGACCCTCATGTGTATTAGCAGCTTGTAGCGGGCATTGAAAGGTTTGAAGCGTCTTGGACAAGCTTGCCAGAAACATGTGAAGTCTTCTCCCTTTCTCTGGTCAATATGGACCTTCTCGATATGCCTTACCAATTCGTCCTGCTCCGAGTGAATCTGGTTGCAGTCGATCCACTTACATATCAGTGGTCGATTTTCCCCATCTTCACTGTCACATCCTGGTGTGCTGTGGCCATTGCTGAGAGTTGTGTGGCTTTTAACATACTGCTGTTGCTCTATAGCTTGGGCATATGTGGGTGGAGGGTGCTGTGGATGGATGGGTGGCTTCATTGACGTTGTAGGGTGCACCACTGGGGTGTTCGTATTGGGAGCATTAGATGCTATAAGAGGACCATGGTTGAATGATCCTAAGTGAGAATTCAGAGCATTCATGTGTTCAGTGTTCATTGGATCAACATCATTCAGACTGCTCATATCTATATTGTCTAAAGCATTTAAGTTAGGGATATCCAACGGGGTCATATTATTGATATGAATGTTATCTGCCGGTGCATATGCATTTACTAGGGTGTGATTCTGTTGTTGTTGTTGTTGTTGTATAACAACCTGATTATTAGCAACAACGGCATTACCTTCATGCCTAACTTGCCCTTGTTCTAAACTGGCCATATAGCTAATAACACTACAGTCATCTGCCTCAAAACCCTCCTTCTTAAACTGTCCCATAGAGGCTTGGCTCTGATGTAGGCTCCCCATGTATCTGCTATGATGCATCTGTCCACCAGAGGATATAGACATGGGGCTCCCCATGGCACTACGAGCTGCCAGATGTCCATATGTACCAGCATGGTGACCAAACTGGGGAGATGAACTAACAGATGAACTACGAGATCCATTGATATATGCCACTAATGATGTGGGTGATGTCCGTATTATTGAATTAAGATCAAGCCCCTCTGATGAAAGAGGTGACACAGAGAGCTGTCGTTTCTTTGACATGCGAGATCGTGCCGAGTGTCTTGGACTGGCAAAGCTAGACAGGGACGGAGAGTATTCCATAAGATGAGGGAATGGGGACAGGGAGTGGTTACTACTGGCATAGTGAGACATTGCACTTCCCGGGGGCATGAACTGACTCTCACTTGCTTCACTCCCCGCAATAGAGCCATTACCCTGGGAACTGAGAGACGGTAACACAGGGAACTGATGCCACTCTTTTTTAACCACCGGATATGGTTCCAGAAATACATTTTTATCCCCACTAGGTGTGATTGCATCGGATGATATCACTGAAAGTGTAGGTGTGTTGAGACTATTACGTGTGTTCAGTCGAATGCTGGAAATCTCACTGGGCGTTGGGGACTGGGACTGAGTTAGAGATTGATTCGGGAGCTGGAGAGTACTGGCACTGCTCGATAGCTGCGTATGTGACAGCAGTGAATGATTCGATTTATTGTTACTTTTCAGTGGCTCTAGTCTGATATTGTGATTGCTTGTACTTTGAGGTCTTGATGTATTCCCAGTAGTACCCAGTCCAATACATTGTGGCCCATATCCACTAGAATTATTCAAGTCTGAAAGAATACAAAAATATTTTTAGCTAGTTTGTATGTTGAATTCAGGTTGTATTCTTCTGAGGTTAATCCATTAGAATCCACGCGCCACATTTTGAGCCTAATGAGATTTCAAGTGCAAAAGCCCTGTTACACTTTTATCCTATAAAAGTAAGAAAATCCCTGTTTTGTAATGAGTCTATATACATTTGTATATTGTGAAATATATTTCCCTAATAAAGGTGGAAATAAACATGATGTTATGACGCACACATAACATAATATCGAGAATATTATTGACAAACTAGAAGTGACATATAAAGCCCATAAAAGCATAAAATCTCAAAAAATATCTTTAAGATCATATTTTGTGACAATTTGTGTGGATATTGATACAATTAAATAAAAAAAGTTCAAATGTAAATATAAGATCATGATAAATTTACACAGAAAATATAAAGAATTTTTTTTCTAAATGTACTCAATATACCTCTAACCTTCATGATTCAAGGGTACCATTACATGTATAAATAATTACTTATTAGATTTATTCAAAATCGGAAATTGCTATTCGGGTCAATTGGTGCCAAGTCGCACAATATCTAAATTGATTTTTACCATTCAATAACGTCAACATGCACATATTTTATAAGTCAGCAATAGTAAATACGCCTTTAACAATAATACCTATAAATATTTATCCGCTAAGAGCTTTCCATGAATCTTGAAAATGCTCTGACGCAAAGGAGCCAATTTTAAGGATTAACTCCTATACTGCCAGCTATTTTTGCGGTAATTCACAAGGCAAACATGCGATACAGAATTGGAAATTAATCCGCATTTTAAGTCATGTTTTGTGCTGGTGTAAATAGAGTTAAATGATAGTAACTTGACGAATAAATGTATCAATAACACTATTTGTAATTCATACAATACTTGAAGATATTATGGCCAGGAGTGTTATATACATAAGGAGTTTGGGATTCATAAAGCTCTATGAATTCTTCGTTCACCTTTTTGTGCTAAATCTCACAGTAGGTCACTTAACTAGGGAAACTATGCCAAGTTTGTAAAGCTAGGACATAACAAAACATCTTGAATATTAGACACTATGAAATAGGGATCTTGATACTCTTGATTTTTAATAAGATTTATATGAGCCTCATCCAGTCGAGTGTTCTGTTTATCCAACCAAGTGCTATTAAATTGATACTGACAGCAAAGCTTAACCAAAAGTACTGTTTGCGGCCTGACAGGGCGATGACAAACATATTAAAGACTAAACAAACAAATAAAAAATAAAAAAAACATTCAATTATCTATCAATTAGGGAAAGGATTCTGCCTGAATACATGGAAACCAGTACAATTATCCTCAAGGGAAATTCCATAAATGTTTAACGCTCCTACAATATATGACTAAGATATCATATACATGAAATGTTTACTATATTTTCTGAAATGCTTATGACAAACAATAAGAGAAAAAACCTGACTTGTCATCATGTCAAGTTTGTTTACATTGGTAAACGAAACCTGATAATTCTATGGATTGTAAGTACAATTTCTAACCCCAATTGTGGTGAGTTGACCCTGTTTAGAAGTATTCTTGAAATGTCGAGCAAAATACCAGTAAACCCTCAAGATTGCAAGCACGTGTCCCATCATCTCATATTTCCAGGGAATTCTTAGAAAATAAACACAATGCCCATATTTTGAATTGGGAAAGTGCACTACATTCAAATTTATTTTTTGTTTCAAAAGTCCATTTAAGGATGAAAATCTCCAAAAGCTGATAAGTTAATAGGCAGCAAAATACTAACAACCTCATAATTATTCTAAAAATTTACCAGTTTGTATTTTAATTTTTAAGGATCTAAAATTAGGCGAAGAAGAATGCAGGTGGGGCAAATTTAGGCTAAAATATTACCACATTCAAACTTCATTTCCATGTTTTAGTTAGAAAAAAAAACATCTGAAAAATATATTCATGTAATACTTTGGTAAGACAACTGCCAATGTATATTAGTTGTATAAAAAAGAGACAACTTGTATAATATACAATTTCATTATCAGGTTTGTGATAAACAATTCTCTGGCTCTGAATGACGTCATGAAATGACATAAACATTTACTAGTTCTAAAAATTAACATGTGTAAATATGTGTGCAAACATTGTTATTTTCAGACAATAAACGGAGTTACTTTGAACTTGTAAAAATATTAGAATTGATAAACTAAGTTGAACTGGGCATGGCATATAAAAATTTGTATTATATACAGTCAATCTAGTACATTTGTGAGAGATGTGCAGTTTCAGTTTCCAAACTAAGAAATCCCAAGATAGCGTCCCATCCTGCTCGAAGACAAATTATTGAATTATCTCTGCAAGTTTTTTACACTTTTGTGACAAATAAAGTGTAGGTAAGCATGAAATTTTGTTTCGTTTAAGATAAATTAAGTTACCAAATTTAAGATGAATTCCTTACAGAAGATGATAATCTAGTGTAAAAGTATACAAAGGCAAACTTGTAAAAGACATCAAATATATAATTTCAAGATGTCATGTATATAGTTATGTGACATCTTATATAATTAGAGATGTCATTTATATACAGTAGTTATAAATGACATCAAATATGATTGGCAAGATCTCTGTCACCTGCATGTCAAACTTGCCAGATAATGAATTTTCATACTTAATTTAATTCATTGATTTTGTTTCTATAAAAGAGAGATTCTTCTCATTACTTGGGTAATTTGGGTAACTTTTATAAAAAAGATAGTACAAGTACCTGTATTACCCTGGTCAAAGCAGAAAATACACTGACAAGAAATGTGCACAAAAGGAAAAACTCAGTTACCTGAAATAATCAGGGTCTCAAATGATAAGGACCAAAGTATAAAGAAGACCTTCCACTCTGTATACATGTATATGCAACACATGATATCCAAACACAGGATACCATTTACACAATGTTAAAGTATAACCAACATTGCAGCAATGCCATGCAACACAAAAAACAGACTTCAAAAAAGTTGCAACAAAAAGTGATTTATAATGAACAGCCTCTCTTGTATAGAATAACTGACAGAAATATGTCAATTCTAAGATACGATTTCTAGGTACTCATGTTACTGGGGCTAAGATAAGTTAATGAAATATTTAGCATTACAGTTGTACATTAATTCTAAAATATATAAAAATAAGGCCAATTTGTCATTTATGGCAAAATAACATGATTCCATTGTGAACTACCTTGACAAAAATGTTTAATGCAGTCATAATTTGGGAACATTTCAAAAAATTCTTCATTTATTGATCAATCTTCAAAAATGAAAATATGCAATTGCTTGTACCACAAAATTAATTCCTATAGCCTTATATTATGATAAGTCCAAGTTTTACCACAATACTACTTCACTTATATAGTAGTTTAATATGATACACCACACAAACAAGCCAGTTGTTATTTAGTTGTTATCACTCAGTTAGAGGATTATTTTCTAGCAATTTAATCATAATGTAAACCACAGTGATAAGAGATAAAATGTAAGCAGAAACCACTTAAGACTCATCCATAAACAGTTCTGAATCATCCAATAAGAGAGAAATGATTTTTGAAGCATTTACGATTCTTTAAACCAGCCTTTTTTCAAAGACCTACTTCAAGGATTCATGAAGAGGCATGCTATTAAAAATTCTGTATTCTTACATAATAATCATAAATCTAATTCTTAAATATGCTTTTCTTGTCAGCATTAACCAATATGTTTAGTTCTATTTCACACAGAAACATCATTTTTAGAAGTTCAATATATGAAAAAACATCAAAAACATGAAATCTGTAAGGAGTAGGTATAGCAGACATACTTTCAGAACAAAGCATCTGATAAAACCTTAATTTGAAGGGTAGTACACATACATGAGTATACTTTGGTCATTTCATATCAAGAAATGTTTTTTGGGAAATATATATGGAGACTGCAATACTTAATTTCTTCCATTGGAACACACTTTAAAAAGATGCAACTGTTAATAGGGAACACTTTCTAGAATAACACACCTTATAAGGGAAGACATTCATAAGGAAAACCTTTCATAAAGAAACACTTTCAAGGAAAACCCCCAACCATAGGAGTACCTTTCAAAGTGAGAAGTCAATAGAACACCTCACTAGTTGAACATCGCTCTCAAAGGAACACTTTTACTCAAAACCTTTGACCTTTGACTGAATTTGTATTATATAGAAATTCATGTATACCAGAACTCCATATTATCAATATGCAAAAATCTCAATACTAAAGGTTTTACACTCATAACTCAATTTCATATCTTTTTAAGAGTTGCCATGAAGTCTAGATCAGTCAACTATATTTGGTTTAAGTCAGTAATACTAAGAAGTACAAATAAATCAATACAGCAAATCAATGGCCAATTTCCTTCTTCCAATCTGAATAAATTGGTTCCATTAATTTAGAACGAGTCAGTTAGGAGTAATTAATGATGTATCAAGTATGAACATACTGTAACATTCAAAATTATCATTTCATTGTAATGTTTTCTGGATTCTGATTGGCTCAAAGCTATCATGTGACAAAGGTTATGTTTGAAATATGGCTAACTGCTAATTGTGACTGTAAATCGCAAAAATGCTATTTTGGTAACAAATAGAACACCATCATATTTTCAGAAAACCACTAAAACATCAAAAATGGTTCTAAACCATGAGATATGACATGTTATCTCATATGGAGGTAACCTGAGCAAGGCCGGGCCTCAAATCCTCCTAGTTATCAGGTTTACAATAAAAACTTCTCACAATATTCACTCTGTACATTCTATAGACGATAAACTCAATAACTCGTATTTAACATAATCTCTTACAAAAATAATTTTAGTTGGGATTTGAGGCATTATTTGGTAAATATAATTTTATTAACATATGAAAAGTCCAATAACTGCATAACAACATTTGTCAAGGGGACTGAATATTGATGAACCATTTCTTGAAAGAGGACAAGGTCCTTAGTTTCTTTTAATTATTCAAAATCAATATACGAAACTTAATATAAGAAATTATGCAAAATCAAGATTTTTGATGAGAAAAATATGAATTCAATTTCACGAAAGATTTTATATAAATGTAACAGCACAAATAGATTTCTGGAACTTGGAATTTATTACATACTCAAATCAAACAAAATACATCCACAGGGGTAGTGGGGTAGTGGTGAAGTATGCTTTTCCCACTAACAATCTATCATCACTATACTAGGATATCATAATAATTATCATAGTTTAAAAGAATTTCTGCTAATATGTGGAAAAACTAGTATAATCGTTGCTTGCTAATGTGTGTTGAAAATGTAGCACAAATAATTATTGCTGATGTTATAACAAGGAATCTTTCCTAATGTGTGTAGAGAATATTGGGGGGGGGGAGCAAGGGGGGCATAGCCCACTCCAAACTATTAAGTAAGAATGTATAGGTTGAATAGGTTGAATTTTCAGGTACAATTGTAAAATAAATGTCTTCTACATCACTTCCTGAGATTTACTGAGAAAGAATTCAACAGAGAAAAACATGCATGCCTATCTGTTATTTTATGGTTCAGTTTTAGGCCCTGGTTTTGGAACTGAAAATGTTCAATCGAGAACAAATAAGCATTTCACTTGAACCATACTTTGTAAATTACTAAATGAGAGTATGTGTATAAAAAGGCCTTTATCTAACACAAGATTCTTTTACTATTTGCAGGTATTAGAATGATTATTACATGCGTATAATAATAAGTACTCAGGATTTTCTACAAATATTTCAGATTCTTAAAAGGTGACACAAAACTTAGCAACGTGATAGTTGATATGGGAAGCATGGGAAAACATGTAAGGGAACATATAAACAAATGAAATGCGATCACTGATCAGCATTAGTTAAAGATTTGGCGGGGATGTGTGATAATTCAAAGTAAACATTGAGTTGCAAATTTCTCTACAACTTCAGCAACAGAAACTTCCCAAAAAATCAAATTAAAGAATGAAACTGATTCCATTTTATACTGTAGATATTTTTACCATTGCTATCTAATCACGCAATTTCGTAAACAAATATATAACTCGGTTGAAAGCGTGAATGTTAAGTTTTTAGAGTCTCTGAAATAAAGTTGATCAACTATCTTGGAAATTCCACAAAATTCTGTCATATATTCCATAATAGCCAAACTTATTGGAAAAATTACACCTTTAATACTTCCAACAACAAGAATCAGAGTAGAGACTAATAGAGGATTCAACAAGACTTCTATCTTACAGTTCATAATATTGGCATTATGCTACTTCAATACAAAAAAATATAACAGGAGATCCAAATCAAGAAGGAACTTCAAATCATAAAACATAAGTTGAAAGTCAAAAGTTTAAGTAAAGAAATATTATGACAATATATACATAGCATTATGACTTCTTGTATGGGTAGACAAACATTGATTTCCAATGGTACCTACTTACTTTCACCATGGATTATTACATTACAAACAAGCACAAATGCAAGGCTCAAGTGTTGTCTTTCAAATATTAGTCTTTTAGTCTAACATTGTTGAAAATATTCTAATTCAAGGTCAGATTTGTTAACCTATATTTTGACGCTGTGAAATGTTACATTTTCTCTAAATATCAGGATTTGACGCTATAAAACTTTGTTTTTTAAAACCTAGTTGACTTTTAAATCTCACTGAAAATTTAATAACCTCCAAGACTGCAAGGTAAAAATCAAAATTTAATTTGTTAAGTATCCAAATCCCAAAAATTACAGATAAATAAATTTACAAAGGATTTATTAGTGTTGATTAACCAATCCATTGTTCTTAAACTAATCTACACAGCCAATCTCCGACAGTACTGTACGCTACCAGCCTACCATTTTTACAACTGTACTGTACGGTACTGAAAATATGGTACTGTAGTATAGAGCAGTACTGTATGGTACCACAGTGTAGAACCATACTCCAATGACACCACCATATGGTACCATACTCTTAATCTACCACATGGTACATATACCACTTGTATTCAAGGCATTTAAAACAGGATTGAGCCCTTGGTATACAGTTTACTAAAACTTACCTTGTTTTGATGGCTTCTGAGATGATATCGATTGTCTATCAGTCACCAGGTTATAGCTCAGATCATGTTGGGATGATATCAATTGTGATGTTGGCGTGATAGATTGTTGCCGTGGACTTATCTGGGGACTCTCTTCCTTAACGACCACTGGCTGTCCAGCATTGACAACTTGACGATTGGATGAAATAGCAGGAAGTTGGACAGAAGGTTTCTGAGCATTTCCATTGTTTGGTATAGGCGTGGTCCTGTTGGAAAGTGGAAGAGGAGTCTCTGCTTGGACACGAACTGATGGGATATCTGAGCCCTTTGTCATTTGAATGCTCTCACTTGAACTGCGTCCATTCATGGCTGCCTCTAGAGGAAAACATAAAATGCTACCTTTCAAATATAAGTAATGATTTACAATATAATTGGCCAACTTGCTAATTGCGATAATTATTCAAAGCAACTAATAAACGTCACAAAAGTATATCAAAATAGTATAACAAAATAACTTATACAAAAAACTCATCATAACTACAGTATAGGAATGAAATGAATATAATACACCCTATGCAGACAGAGCCTGTGGGAAATATTGGGTGCGGCGCAAATGAGCGGAGGGTGTGGAGCTAACGGTCATTTTTGAATTTAAAATTGGGATATTTCTGAAACTAAGCCGTTTTGGGACTTCAAATATACCAAGATATGTGTATTTGACACCAAATATATATAAAATTGTGAAAATAGTAGTGCAATTCATTTTATAGCGACGCATTATGCCTTAAACATTTCCCAGACCTATATATTTTGAGACTATCCTTTTAATACTGCGTCCCCAGCATTCATAAAAAATGGTGTTCAAGATACACTACCCATGCAAATTATTTTTGCATCTTGGAAGCCAGGCAGTATCTGGTGTGATTTTATAAAAATTCGGAAATGTTCTTCAGATATGAGCCCCCTCTAAATATTGGGTGCGGAGGTACGTTTATGGAGCTCCTCCGCACCCAATATTTAGAGGGGGCTCATATCTGAAAACATTTCCGAATTTTTATAAAATCACACAGATACTGCCTGGCTTCCAAGATGCAAAAATAATTTGTATAGATAGTGTACCTTGAACACCATTTTTTATGAATGCTGGGGGACTCAGTATTAAAAGGATAATTTCAAAATATATAGGTCTGGGAAAGGTTTAAGGCACACTGCGTCGCTATAGAATGAATTGCGCTACTATTTTCACAATTGTATTGATATTTGGTGTCAAATACACATATCTTGGTATATTTTAAGTCCCAAAACGGCTTAGTTTCAGAAATATCCCGAATTTAAATTCAAAAATGACCGTTAGCTCCGCACCCTCCGCTCATTTGCTACGCACCCAATATTTCCCACAGGCTCTGTCTTCATAGGGTGTAATAATAACCCAAATGTCAGTAGGTAGTTACCAGTTCGACCACCAGGTGGCTAATTTGGGTCAGATAACATGGGAGATATAGAAGAATATTCATCACTTTAAGTGGATAAATCTTCATATCACCCGTATGTGTCTATTGTCTATCATCAAATGAAAATATGTCCAGTATAAGATATTTTATGTCCAATTCAAGAAAAGATATTTCATTTTTTTGTGATTTTATAACATGGGGAATCTACCCAAACAAGATTCAAACACAATTTAATTTTGAAAGTTGATAAATAATTATTTAAACCACATACGTATCTAGAAGTAATTTTACATGTGATTATGATCCCTTTGACTAAATTTGAATATTTAATGCCGTAAATAAAGCTTATTTCTAACTGAATCTAGTTGGCAATACCTTGTGCGTATTTGGTTTATTATATATTTTCAAATTTATTGGCCAATCCTGTGGTTATGGATCATTTTATCTATAGGACTTTCTTGTTTTTATAATAAAAACATCATAAAGATTTAACAAAGAAAAATCAAAAGGAAGTCAGAACTTTCTTGTTTTTATAGTAAAAACATCACACACTTGAACAAGGAAAAAATCAACAAAAATCAAGAGGAAGTCAACCCTTTCTTGTATTATAATAAAAACATCACACAGATTCAATAAGGGAAAATCTACAAAAAATGAAAGGGATTCATCATAATTGTGATTGATCTTGAAAAAAGTTCTATTGATCTGGTACAATAGCGCAACACAATTCAATGCCAATATTGAAAGTTCTGTTAGATTGGCATCTACTTTCAAACAGAACTGATATGTAATTGTTGTTTTTGCTAAGAAACTCAAAGGATTTCCATTGATTTGTGGGTTTACCATTCATAGAATAAACGCAGGTTTGTTTGATAGAATGTAAGGAGACATTTCCCTGTATTGATCCTTATGAATACAAGGGTAGTGGAGTACAAGGTATAGTTATAACACAGACAGAGTATCAAGTAACATCTCTTAATTAAAAACAAGAAATTTTCAGTATTATATCTGAAAAGGCCTTACAATGTCAAATCTGAAAATTGAAGCCAGTTGAATTGGTAGGATATACGAGTATGTCTCTTAGAATTTATATTGAAAAATATCTTAATTTAATATATTGCAGGAACTGTGAAAAGTAACAGATTTGTTATGAGTTTGAAGTCATATAATTTATATCAAGCTATCCATATGAAAGCAAGTCTTTCTAAACATCCCGTATTCTCTTTAATAAACGTGCAACCTACTTTGCCATAGTCTTGCTTAGAAGACCCTGTATTTCCCCCCCCCTTTATCCTTCTCTCTGTATATTGCCAGGTAAAGAGAGTGAAGGTGACGGGGGGGGGGGGGGGGGGTAGATACAGCAAGACTAACTTTTCCATGAAAGACCTGTTGTTTAGACGTGTGTGTAGCAGCTTCAAAAAATGATGAGTTGAAAGCTATAATGAACATTAAAGGATGCATTTAAATATCAAGGGCTTAGAAAACAATAAAAATTCTGTATTTCAGTGCACTTTTCTCTGACTTTTTCTTGATGTACATCGCGATGTGCATCGTAGTGCCTTACGGTAATGCCGGATTGTCGGCAGCGGCAGTAGATACTCTCAATTGCCGGTAATAAAATCCATTGCCGATAATCGCCATGCTGCTGCAACATGATGATTGGCATTGCGATCCATTGTCAAATTTACGAAACAATGTTCGTTTAAGAATATTTTATCAATCATGTATATTTCAATCTCCACATTTGAAGAGCTAATCTGTCAATCAACTGCAAAGCATTCGTAAAAGGCGGGAGGATTAGCAAAACCCCACCCACTTCTGTCAATCATCTCCCATGCCGCGAGATTAACAAATCACGTGACGTGATATTTCGGTGAAGTAAAAACAAACACAAATAATTTGATCAATTTTGATCGAATTCACTCTATATTATCATTCAAAGACTTCCTAACAATACACAATCACACACGAGATACACGATGATACAATATATCCACTGTAGTTGATGTGAGCGGGAAATCAAGCTGAGAAATCGGCTTCGTTAAGGATTTTTCCAAATATTTTAGTTTCACTTTCAGGTTTTTCCCCGGGATTTTAGGAACATTATCAGTATCAACGATTATCGGTAACGGTAAGGTAATGGAGGTGAAATTTACCGGCAGTGAGATCCATTACCGTTGCAAGCACTAGTGCATCGATGTTTACTAGTGTTGTCGCGATTAATCGATACATTGCGATATACATCGCCAAAGCTGATTCTGGCGATGCATCGATGTCTGAAACAAAACATAGATGTTTTAAAAAAAAATTAATTTGCTAAAAATCACCCTTTCTTATCTTATTTTGATGTAAATCACTTATCTTTCTCGTGTCTTATTTCATTTTCCAATGTTTTCTGATATCCTTTTGCTTTAATACTGTTTTAGCTAGTCGAAATGAACCATTACTTTACTTTCATTTCACCGTTACTAGAAGTTCCCGGATGGACCAGCGTACTCTTATTAATGTGTTCTGTTCGGTATTTTAGTGCATTAGCGTTCGGTATTTCAGTGCACTTTTCTCAGACTTTTTCTCGATGTACATCTATGTTTACTACTGAAAATTGCCGATGCATCGATGTACGATTATGGCACATCGCGACAACACTTATGTTTACTACTGAAAATTGCCGATGCATCGATGTACGATTATGCCACATCGCGACAATACTAATATTATGTAAAAATTCTAATACAAGTATTTTCTCTCATTCTGAAGACCATTCAGTGATAGAAAGCCTGTAGATATAGACTCGGGTATCACTTAACTTTCCAAAATGGCAGCCTACACAAACGAACGTCATTGGGTCTCAAAAGTTCTCCTAAAAGCCCATGGTTGGTTTTTTGGAACTTACAACATACCTGCCTGGCATCAATCAGATTTGGCAAGATTTTATTTTCAGAAACACATTCGAGGTAAATTACGCTTACTCAATGATACATGTTGAAAAGTTGTACTAGAGTCCAGGTCAGAGGCATTCTAGGACGTCATATTGTAGCTATGCTTTGTAGTATGACCCTTTATGAGTAATGTTTACAAATCTGAAAATATGAATCTGACTTCTGTCATCATAAAAGTTCAGTCTGGCGATCAATCATACCCTTGAATTAGCAATGTCACTTCAACACATGCTATCTATTGCAAGACTAACGCCTGGTGTAACCGTCACCATGTGTTTCGGTGTTTTTTAAGTAGCGCAAGGATCCTGCCATGACCGTGGCAGTGTTATTTTGTAAGCCTGGTATAACCGTGACAACGCTGTATTGTATTGCAAGGCCTGTCATGACCGTGGTAATGTTAAAGCCCCGTATGACCGTGACAATGCTTGCAAGGCCTGTCATGACCGTGACAATGCTATATTATATTGCAAGGCCTGTCGTGACCGTGGTAATGCTATATTATATTGCAAGGCCTGTCATGACCGTGACAATGCTTGTAAAGCCTGCCATGACCGTGACAATGTTATGTTATATTGCCGTATATGTTATATGACCGTCATAATGATTGAAAGGCCTGTCATGACCGTCAGAATGTTAAAGCCTGTCATGACCGTGGTAAGGTTAAAGCCTGTCATGACCGTGGTAAGGTTAAAGCCTGATATGACCGTGACAATAGTTGCAAGGCCTCTCATGACCGTGGTTGTATTTAAAGTAGCATGAGAACACCGTAATGACAATTTTTCTTCGTGTTTAACTACCTTAAAGATGTAAATAAAGACTACTAAAAATGTGTATTAATTTCACAACGAAAACCTAATTTTTACTCATAAATAATTTGCTAACAAACTATATCTCTACTCTAATTCAAGGAGCTTCGATTCGAAAGCATATACTTTCTATAATGATCAATAAATAAGATTTATCCATAAAAATACAAACAGCAATGGGCGAACATAAAGGTCATGAATGTCATATAAAGGTTACGGTCGCGACAGGCTTACACGATTACACTACAACGGTCATAGCAGGCATTTTAATATAATACAGCATTGTCGCGGTTATACCAGGCTTTCACGTTAACATTACCACGGTCATGGCAGGATCCTTGCGCTACTTAAAAAACACTGAATAACATGGTGACGGTTACGCCAGGCGTTAGTCTTGCAACAGATAGGGTCTCCACTTCAACTCCTATTTCAACAAAAAACACTAACGCAAAGATGATCTTCTCTGACTTTTGAAACAGAATCTTCTTCTTCATCCAGTTCCAGTGATCGTGTATATCACTTCGGCACCTTATACTGACCTACCTAAATTCCCATGAAATCTGAGGAGTTCAAGAATTTGAAGAAATTCACAGATGAAAACTTGAATTATCAACATAATTGGAAGTCGATTTTCACTTCAAATGCCCTCTCATTTAGCATGAAAGTGTACTAAGATTACTTTAAATGACTTAATACTTACATGTGATTTGATCAACGTAGTAATATATCCCGAAAACTCGTCATTTTGCAGTAAAATGCGAATGAAACTTTCAGGCACTAGTTTCTTCCCTCCACTTCCTGTGAACTGCCAATCAAAAGTTCGCTGGGGGTCTAGAGTTGCTATGACATGGTGGCGCCACTGTACAGCTCCTAATTGGGGATCGATCATTCTCAGAATTTCAACATTCAGGCTGTGATGATTCTACTATCACCTTAATTATGAATGATGACATGATGCCAACATAAAATAAATATATATTATGCTATGATACTGGATACATGTTTAAATAATCCTCTGGGTGAAGTCACAGTGAGTAAATCACGTCTCATTTTATAACATATAGGTGCCCAATCGGGGAGGGGGGGGGGGGGGGGGGGGGCAGTGAGGCAAATTTCTCAAGCAATGAGGCATTTTTTCTGTCAGTGAGGCAGATTCCACATACAGGGTGTAGTCAGGCAATTTTTTATCAGATGAGGCAAAGAATCATCAGTTAATAGGCAAACATTGTCAATGAGGCAAACATTTTGACCCTTTAAATTCTGCATAAGACAACAGATAGTCTTATATGGTACAGTGCATAAAGTAACATTTATGTCCTCTAGATTTTAACATACAACATACTGTTTTTACAGCAGTTAAAACTCAATTGAGGGGGGGGGTGCACCAAAAATGCATAGAGACCCCATGTCTATGGCCATGACTTTAATGGTTTCACTTATTCTATAGGGCCTGTTTTTATTAAAATCGTGTATATATTTCTCATTTTATAACTTTGTATACATCAGGTTATTTTACAATATTACAATATTTGTGAAAAATGATACAGTTTTAATTCTTGAACATTATTACAATAGTTTACAAATATAATGTACCACAAGTTGTTTTACCATTCATTAAAATAAGCATGGTTAGTGTCTTGTACCTTATAGCCAAAGACAAGAGTTTTATACTTTTCAAGCTTAATTCAATTTGAAAATGGTCTAAAATATAATTTTCAAGTTGGTCTATTATCTATTTTTTATTTGCAATTTGACTCAATGTTACACCCGATGTTTCAAGTTCATTGACTAGACAAGAGTAAGAACTTTTTTTCAATCTTTGAAGATGTTTTTTTTAATTTACAGAATAGACACATAGATTGTGTATTCTAATGTCACATATTTTAAGAAGAACCTTTTCCAATAAATTGATTTTGCTTCTTTAAAATAAAACTTATGCTTTGGTGAAGTATTGGGGGAAACGAATCTGAAAATATAAAAACAATTAGTTGTTCAATGTAAAGATGTCACTTTAAAAGATCGGAGGTAGAGCTCAAACTACCAAATTTTCTCGCAGTGCATATGAACTCTATTTCCGGTTAAAATTTCGAACTGACGGGTAAGGTTTGTCATTTGATTTTATTTCGTCTTATATAGACATTTTACAAAACAAATATGATTAATGAATAATCGCAAACTATTATCCAAAGTAATTTGTTTAAATTCATTGTATTCTTATGGTTCATTGTGAGTGATTTTAATTCAAATCTATTGAAAAGGTTTTTACCTCAAAAATTTGAATATTTTTTTTTCATTGATTCTCAATCTCAGTTCAGAACTTAAGTCTAAGGGTTTGGGGGCAATAGTTTGCCAAGAATATTCTTCATAAAAATATGACATTCATGATGGTAGATCTACTAGAATTGGTCAATTTTGTGTCATGGGCCATCATTTTCATGTATTGAATTTGAAAGGGGTATGCCCTGGGGTACATAGAACTTTGACAGAAGATGTGATAGTCTGATTGGTTTACTGTTTCCTACTAAGTCGATCTTAGCACAAAAATGATTAGATTATCAATGTTTTGGGCAGAGGAGTCCATTAGGCAGGGGAGTCCATTAGGCAAGGGGTACTCTCTGAGTTTAGATTCATGTTTACATTCATGAGATAAAATAGCTAGAATCTACAACTTCACGAAATGAGCTTGACTTACTCCAGTCTCTAGCTTACAGCTAGATCTTACTTCATTGATTTAGTATGTAATCTAGAAATAGTGTCACACGCACCTAGAACTCCTATTTAATAATTCTTATAAATATTTATAAGAATATTAATTATATTTAAGTTGAAGCGTTGCTTGTCTGGATTAAGATATTTCAAAATTTCTTTTCGGAAAGAACCTCAAACTTGGAGGCCATTTTGAAAAGAAATTTCACACAGTTAAATTAAATATATATAACAATCGATAAGGACAAGGATATGAGCTGATATTCTTGAAAGGTATGCATAAAGGTATGATTCATATAATTATGCCATAACAACTGTAGCAACTGTTTGTGTCACCAGGATTTACAAATATTGAATATCATGGTGGCTGTTAGGGGTGAAACGAATACTCAAGTATTCGGTTGCAAAATAGGTCTGAGGTGATATTCGAATGGCATTTTGAGGTATTTGAATATTAAACGATTGACTGCACATGCGCGCCGATTTAGTCTCCCGCCAAGACAAACCCAATTCTAAGGCAATCCTGATATAGATTACACGGTTACTCACCTAAGAGTCATCTGCAGCTCTTACTTGTAACCTCTGAGCACTGCTGATTAATCCAGTGGCATCAATAAGAGTAAAATACTTGAATATAAAGTGAAGAACATTGTTTGTACGAGAGGCAATCTGCGCCAGGTTCGTTTTTAGGTTCGGTTTTTAGCGCATGCGATTGGAATAAGTATTTATTTTCATAACAGAACCGTTGCATTGTCTTATCATCTACCACTACACTATTTATTGTGAAATCGAATACAATAAAAAAAGTTCTACAGTAATCGGCAATCGTTTCTTTACATAATTACGTATGGTATAGTGTTTTAGAACCATCATATATTTGGTGTTTCCCAATCACGTATAAAATAAGTTCAGAATTTAATGTTAATAATATAATACGTCAAAGCAAGTTCGTGAGACAGTGACCAGACGACTATTCATCAGGTGAAATTAACAAAGAAATAGGTAAATAAAATCCTTTATTGACATTAAATAAATGTAATAATATTACAAACAAACAACAGTTTACATAACACAGTCAGCATTCTATTCAAACTTGGCGTATATACCTCACATGCTCTTAGAAATCAAACAACTTATATTTACTTCCGGGTTTTTAACGAATATTCGGGGCCGAACAGGGATTTGCTGGCCGAATATTCGGTATGAGAATTTACTATTCGTTTCAGCCCTAGCAGCTGTAAACAATCACTCATAGCCGGAATATAGAAAAGGCTTTGGACTCTTTAAGAAATAATCCTTAAAGGCAGAAACAGATCTATAGGGGTGAAAAAATACAAGCAACACATACAATTTTCCTATTAATCTATTCCTTACGATATCAAATACAATCTCCCATAAGATTCACAATATTTTATAAATTGGTGAAGTTATGGTAGATTCAAAGTGCAAAATTAAATGGGTGAAAAATGTTTAAATTATCCCAAATAATAAGAGCGGTAACCATTCTTATAAAAAAAAATTTAATATTGTAAAACCTTTAGTTTTCCTGAAATAATATGTGCAATTTAGGGATTTTTAGATAATAGACATGACAAGGAATGACATGAGCCAGATTCTAAAATTGAACCAATTTTTTGTTGGCCTGCTCGCTAGATCTGATTCTCTTTTTAACCAATCAGAATACTGAGAATGGTTGATTTAAATCTAACTATCCAATCATTTAAGTAGCCTTCACAAAATTTCATGTTTTCATGCATTCAATTTTTAATGAAACACATTAAAAAATGAATCTACTTTGGGGTCATTTAGATATAAATCTATCTCATTAGTATCAAAAATGCTTATTTATTTCTCCTATGTTCTCCTATCCAGAGCCTTATGTACAAGGGTCTGACCTCAGAATGCCCAATGGTGATAAACACCCATTGATTGATATATTGTAAGTGCTATATACCATTGATTAATGGCTTGCTAGTGATGTACCAGTTGACTCATTTTCCCATTTTCAATACCCATCATGTTATCTTATCTATTAAAGAGTTTATGAATAACAATGTGGAAAATTCTCCTTCTATCTCACTATACTTGTTTTAATAAATAGAATTATCATCTAAAGTCCTGTATTTGTCATCACAAGTTATTGTTGTATGGGGGTTTTAAAAAGCATACAAAGGAAAAACATACTTTGTGTAATTGATCAAGAAACATACTCACTAATAGATATTGCATATATACATGCTTAAAATACCTAGTTATTAATTAATTAGTACGAAGTAGGTCTTGAATTAAGATATGTTTTGTTAATGAAAGTTACTGTATGTAGTTCAGTATTAGCTAGAGGGGCAAGGAACTTAATTCAACTGTAGGGCAAGAAAAATGTCTGATCATATGTAACTCTAAGTAGGGAGTTATTATTCGTCATTAGAAAAAGGTGTTCAAGGAGACCTAACAATTACTAAGAGGGCATATCCATTTGGGAGTAGACCCATTGGGAAGCAAACCTGTTAAGAAGCAAACCTATTGGGAAGCAAACCCACTGAGGAGCAAACCAACTGGGGAGCAAACACACTGGGGAGCAGACCTAATGGGGAGCAAACCCACTGGGGAGCAAACCTATTTAGGAGCACACCTACTGGGGAGCAAACCTATTAGGGAATAAACCAACTGGGAAGCAAACCAATTGGGAAGCAAACCAATTGGGAAGCAACCCCATTGGATCTCTGCAAACCTATTGGGAAGCAAACCCACTGGGGAGCAAACCTATTAGGAAGCAAACCCATTGGGGAGTAACCTACTGGGGGAGCAAACCTATTGGGAAGCAAACCCATTGGGGAGAGAACCTATTAGGAAGCAAACCCACTGGGGAGCAAACATATTTGGGAGCAGACTCATTGGGGAGCAAACCTATTGAGGAGCATATCCATTAGGGAGCAAATCTATTGGGAACAAGTCTACTGGGATCATTCTCCAGACAGCCTGGCAATGTACCTCTCAAGTGTGCCTTTCAATATAAGGATCCATTCCTCTTACAGTTGAACCAAAGTCTTTGAGCAATTTATGACCTCCCAGCCAATTATATAAAGACTAAGATGTTATGAAGAATGATTCTTGACAGACTGAAGAGTCAGATTCAGCATTTATCTTCAGTAGATGATATTAAATCACGGGGTACCATTGAATAAT